GACGACACTGATGGGACAACCTGGCAGAGACTTAAGCAGCAGATTTAGACTCTACCTTCAGCAAATGGGCAAAAGGGGTTTTGGTTTTTTTTTTTTTTTGGCGTGGGGGGTTGTGGGTTTGTTTTTTTTAAACAGAGTTTGGAATCTAGATTTTTGTTCTTAAAACATACACAGAGCATGTTTGCAGAAAGGAGGCAACACTCACTGTTCAGGCAAGATGGTGTTTAGGAATTATTCATTGTTTCAAGTGGGCTCCTCCCTTCAGGTAACAAGACAGGGGGAGGGGGCCTTTTATAACGAAACTTTTTCAGACAGACACGCATGCAGATAAGAAGTAGTAATTCCAGTTCGGTTTTTAAAAAAAGTCAAAATTAAAATGCCAAAATGATTTCATCATACTCTGTTTTTATAAATCACAATGTTAAAGCCTTGCATATTTGGAAAAGCTATTTTACCCACAGAAAAGGTTTCTTAAAGTTTCCCTATTAAAACCAAACTAACACTCTGACACTATCCTATCAGCATGCAGCCACGCCATGGACAGTCCATTTCTCAGAAACATCAACTCCAAGAAAGCAATTGCTTATCATATTCCTCCTTTACCCACTTATTTGCATTTCATCTCCGCTGTCAGTTAGGCAAAAGCCTCAAACATAAAAATTGGGTTTGCTTTGTCTTTGTTTACTGCTTCCAGGCTACAGAATTAGAAAAGAGATAAAAATTAAAAATGAAGAAATAAAATAGACGTCATGTCAGTTTTTCTGTATTCTTTCTTGGGTAAAGCTCTTCTGAGACCGAACCCCTGTTTTAAGCTGTAAACCAACTTGGAACAGCAGCACCAAGTGCAGATGAATTCTCCAGATATTAGGATTACAAACGTAAATCTTCTCTCAGCCATTATACCTGTTTTGGCGAAACAGGACGTATGCAGTTTCATGAGCAAAAAAAATATTTTTGCCAGTACAGCTACAACAGGCAAGATACTGGTTTCAGCTACCTGGCCTCCCTTCCCCTCCCCAATCCCTTTTCTTAAGCCCATAACCCACAAACAAAACTAACAAAAACCTATTTTTAAGCAGCAGAAGGAACAAACACCTGGTAGATCCTTTCATCAAACTGCTTTAAAGATGAACTTTGTAGCATCATTTTTATAGGCAAGTAAAATTCAATTTAATGTATTCAAGAATAATTTCTTATTCATTTGTATTTTAAAGGATTCATTAAAATATGCATTTCCACATAAACAACCTAAAAGACAATTTCACTGGTCCTTAGTACTTCACAGCTCTTTATGAATTGCAGAGTACAGCCTGGCACTGGTTCCTGTGCTGCCATGGGTCTGAGCAACATCACCTCCTCTAGTCTACACCACTCATTTTTTCATTACACCAAAACAAACAGGATATTATTAGGCAGTGTAAATTACCGCTTAGTGGTTAACTCCCAGATACCAGTCTTCCTTCCCGCCCCCCCTTTAAATTAATCAGAATTCAAATGCTCAATCTACGCTAATTCTTGTTCTTCTATCAGTTTCTCAAAGGCAGCTAGCACTACTTTGCCTAAGTTTTTGTTTAGAGAGAAGCATGCAAGTAATGGAACAGAATAAAAAAAATCCTGAGTAAAAACTAGTATTAGAGTTTAGCTCATTTATAAAACTTTCTGCGCAAACACATAACAGCAATTATTAGCTGTTGGGGATTCTGAACAGCTTTTCCCTATGGGCAGGTTAAAGAGCTGCCTATTAGTGAATGGTACTTTCCTCTAAAGTAGCTGGTAGTAGTCAAATCACACGCAGCATAATGGACAGAGATGAATCCAATTCACTTTAGGAGTCCCAATTTAAAGTTTAAAAAAAAGACAAGACAGTTTGCAATACTAACTTACATACTCTGTCCATACATTTTCCTAACAGAAGTGATTCATGCTGTCATGCTTCCTAAGCAATGGCTTGTATTAATGATTATAACAATCTAATATTCAAGTCTACAAAGTGACATCACCAGTATGATGAAACAGATGGGGTTTATTGTCATTTGCTGTCATGAAAAGACAGCATTACAACAGAGGGAAGGTCAGCCAGCATTATTAAACACCTGTATGTGAGGAAGTGTCCCAACAACTGTTTCCAAAAACCACGGGAGAGCACAGTAACATTAACCCATGGAGTGCAAGTTAACCACGTCGCCTGCAGCGTACCCCTCTAACAGACACGTTTTCTGTACTCCAGCCTACTTGCCTTACAAGGAGCTGGCTGCTGCTCCTCAACAGCCACCGCCTGGGCTCTGCTAGCACTGCTCTTCCCTGCAGTAACGGAGTTCTTCCTTCCTCCTCCCTGCCAAGGAGGTTTTCAGAGCCCAATCCTATTCGTTATGAACAAACACTGGAAGCTACTAAAGTACAGTTGCTGCAATTCCTCACTTTTCTACTACATGAAACTTGATGCCATGTGCCAGATACTTTGAAGTATTCTACCCCAAAAATAGCAAAACCAGCTTGGGGGAGGGGGCGGGGGGGAAAGTCAGACTGCATCCGCTGGCAGTTTGTGCATGTATCTGGTTTTGTGAGAGGAAAGTCTTTTGGCGCTCCATCAGTTACCCTTTTATAAAATGCCTTCACTGAGCTGGATCCACTTCACTTACTAGTCACCTCCGCTTCCTACATGACTCAGGTTTCAAGGCATGAAAGGAACAAGAGCTTCGGAAGGAGATAGAAACAAGTGGGAGAACTCACCCTTTTGTTAAGGAAGGCTGGAGAGAGGATCCAATTGCAGCATCAGGAGCTGCACTGAGCTCAGTGTTCAAGGAGTATGAAAAAGCACTCTCAGGAAAGCGAACAGAGCTACTTATTTAACCGTAGAGCAAAGCAAATGCCACGTCTAGGTCATGCCGATTACAGTTAAGTGAGCACAAGGACATCCAGAGATATTTCTCCCAGCTGGATCGGGAACTACAAGTATAAAGTTCTCACTTACCCGAAGGTTATACTGGATTGGTGGCAAAGCACCGATTCCCAAAAGGATCAGCTCCCAAGAGCAAAACTACTGTAACAGGCTTGTACAACATAACAGTGAGACACAAAAGGCAGCGCTGACCACTAGTTTTGCCATTCTACTAAAAAAGATCAAAGTTCAGGGCTAATGTTGGAACATACTCAGCGCTACAGGATGCAGTACTCCCAAAGAAGTTTGATTACTCAGACAAGTATTGAGCAATAACCTACAGCAAATATGAATCACCAAGATGCCCATGAGGCCATCTTCCAAATAACAGGAACTGCAAAACAGAGATCGACAACGATGTTCTCTGCTCCTTTCTAGAAGGGAGTAAGCAACTGGAAACACAGGAAGACTAGTGCTGGTGAATACAGCCCGTTAAAGGAAAGCCGCCCTCTAGGAACAAAGGATGTGTAGAACTGTATTGCCCAATACATTAAATGGAAAACCTAGAGAAGGTTGGAAAGACCTTGCTAATGCTTGGTGGGGCTTTTTGGTTTGTTTTGGGGATTTTTTAGGTTTGTTTGGTGTTTGTTTTTTGTGTGTTTGGTTTTGGGTTTTTTTGGGTTTTTTTAAGTGCTGTAAGGAAATTAGTTTTTCTCCATTTTCAAGTGACCAGATCACACGTAACCCAAGATTTGAAGGGAGCAAAACAACAAATGACTCAGTAATAGTTCTCTGTCATACAAGCACACCATAGCACAATTGACAATGGCAGCACTGAAGTGGGGGAGAGCTGGCAGGAGGAGAGAAGATGCAAAGGAGGTATTTAAGTAACCCTGTATTTTTCTTTAATGACCAATGTTATAGTAGTAATAGAAATTATTGGATACGTCCAGAGAAGAACAAAACACAGCCAAGCATTATGCCGTTTAATAAAGTGTTGCATCAGAAGGCATTTACAATGTTTCAAAACACAGAAAGTATCAAGAGAGAAGAGGAAAAAACCCTCCGTACATTCAAGAACACCTCAAAGACACTTAGGAAATCTCATAACAAAAGGGGACACAGCTCAGTCAACCATTAAATCCCTTCCCAAGTAGCAGTTCAGTAGCTAAGGCAAAGACAACATCGCTAGAGCTTAACTAAGCCTCAACCCAGCCTCAACTTTTTGCAAACACTTGAGCTTAGTCTGTAAGAATTTTACAGAATTTCACTATGCATTATCTACCTTTTAGCGGACAGGGATACATGACTTGTAAAATAGCTGAGAGTAAGGAACAGTATCATGGGTGCCCCATCTTTTTCCAGCTCTGAACAGATAAACACAGCTTTCCCTTGGGGAGGCACGAGAGGATCATTGCGACTGCTGAACCAGAAGCAATCGCTGCTCTAACAGTTGATGCTGGGCAAGTGATCTTGTAAGCAAACATCTAATACTTACATAGTTTCAGCTACACAGGGAATCATTCCACTAGCTTCACAGTCTCCTTCAGGCTCCCTGGGTTCCACATGGAACGCTGTAAGATAAAAGACCACACAAATCTTTACATTTAGAGGAGGCTACGAAAACTATAAAATGCACCAAATCGCTCAGAAGTAACTATGCATTTAATAAAACCCTTCATAGCCAAAATCCATTTGTTGAGAGAGTAATTTTATAAAACTACTTCACTTTTTTACTTATAAAGTAGCATTAAGACCATTAACTCCGCATTGCCATATAAAGCATAGATCAGGTACTGAATCCAACAGACAAGTTCAAATGTTTGTTAGGAGCAAACACACGCTTCCGGATACTTTTATGGCTTTCTGCATGGGAGAGTTAATTCCTCATTTCATGCACTCAAAGCAAAACAGAGGACATGCTATCATTGTCAATGCATGTTAGCTAAGCGGCTGTTTAATCTGTGAATGCCAGACAGCTGCTACCTAGCAAAGCATAATTTGGGTCTAGAAAGTAATTCTCTTTTTTCATTCTCTAGCACATTCTTTTCCATGTTTGTTTTCCCATGTTCAGTTGAGCTGGCTCAACTTCACTTCTCTTAAATTCCCAGCTCTGCTATATAACCACGAAGCTCTGAAGAGATGACAGACAAAGGTATGTCTGGTTTGTATAGCAAAGAGTTACAACCGCAGCACCTACTCAACACCTCTGTTTCTATCTGATCTAGAAGAAAAAAAAAAACAAAAACAAGAAAGCTCTGGCAAAGCTCTCTGCTCTACCATATAACAGAAACACTAAAACGTCTTGTTTTTACAGCTCTTAGTACATCTAGGGAGCAGACAGGTGATCAAAAGCTGCCTTTCTGCATACTTACTTTTTACATGAGACCTACTTAGGAAACAAGTGGGAACATTAGCTTGTTCACTCCTTTCTTCAGTAGAAAGTAGGGAATGGATATAGAAGGACAACCATGAAACAAGTTCTTATCACACATGCCAATCTCCACGTAAGTTGAGTTTTCCCCAAACTCGAGTCCTATACATGGATTAGGACAAATTTGACCAACAAATAAAACCTAGTTCAGATCAAAGCTTTTAAAAGAGCTTTTAAAAGCCCAGGGAAACAGGCATCCAAAATGCTTCAAAAACCCTAGAAACTGTGGAGTGGTACTTCCCCCTGTAATACATTTTTGCTCTGTGTGTGTGTGTATCCCCGCTGAACCATTTTTAGGAATTTACTTTTGAGATGGACAGTCCAAAAAGCCTACTTCACTCTGGACTTATATCCTCCACTTCCAAACCTCATCTTCCACACAAACACCACCACTTTTGCCCCCTCCCTGACGGCCTCACAGCCCTTTTAGCATACACTCCCTGCTGAAAGGGCCGCCCTGTGCAGGTGCACAGCCACCAGCCAGCTTAAACGTGTACGGGAACAGAGGAGTTCCTGCCTCTCTCACGGTGGAAGTACTAGCTTAGATTTCTTTCTATTTGACCATAGCATCCCATGAATTTCAAGAATTTAAGAAAATGTAACATCTGGCACTTCTATGTTAATCTCTTTTGGCCCCCTGCAACTAAATAATTCCTTTTATAAATCATCGGGGGAGGAAAGAAGAGACAGGAGGGACACAGGGCGCTGTGCAGCCTCATTCCCCCAGGAGCCTGCTTAAATAGAGGAGAGGCAACATCTTACACATCACATTTTAAAAACCATTGTCATGGCAACTTTATGCGACAAACTAACTGCTTTTCAAACAGATTTGTATTTCTTCAGAAGAAATCTATGATCCACCAAATCTACATTTCCAGATGACTACAGCACATACTGGAAGCAAACACTTATTTCAAGTTCAAAAGAAGCTGAATCTGATGGAGTTCAGCCTACCCAGCAAAAGCCAAACTTTTTCAGGTTGTTTGAAGTAGTTTCCACATTGGCTGACCTGTACACACACACTATCTGGAGCCAGAAGCCAGAAATTTTAACATCTGGTTAGAACCACCAGCTACAATTCTTCCCTCATTCTTACTACTTTTATTCTACCAAGTTGACCATTTCACCTTTTTTTAATTTTTAATGTAGTAGCAAGTGTAAACGTCTGTGACAACACAATTATGGGATGTGGAACAAAAAGTTAGTATGAGTTAGCAGTTAAAAAAACAAGCTCTTCAAGTCTGTATTTAAAGGCTATCATAGCACAGGAATGCGTTGTGGCTGACTTCATCCTAAATCACGCAAGGTGACTGCACTTTCGTGGCACAAGTTTTAATTCAGTCCTTGGGTCAGGGTTGCAAGGTATAGCTGTATGCTACGATCGCCAAGCATCCCCCCTTGCTGGCGCGGGAGGAATGTCATGCTACAGGAACTCAGAAAACAGCCTGCATCATTCATTAGCAATCCCACTCAGCAGTCCACTGGGAAAATAAATAAGTAAATGGCGTGCACCCTCAGGATTATGGAGACCTTTGTTTTGCTCACCTGCCTCTTTTTGCACCTGTGTCTGACTCCCCCTGTGACTTTGGCTCTCCTGAGGACTCGTACACAGAGGATCACACTGCAGAATGCTGCAGCACCAAAGCTGCTATCGCCCTCGACACTTGTCCTCAGCAGCTTTTCCAGCGGTAAGACCTGATAGCGTTCTCACACAAGGCAGCTTTCTTTGTTTTTCTGTGGGGAATCAGTGAAGAATTAGTGACATCGTTTCCCTCTTCAGGAGGCAGAAATTGAGAGGATCAATTCTGCATGTGGAGGATTTTACTGTGTGGTTAAGAGTTTTATACTACAGCACCAAAGCACTTGGTGCGTAAGTGTTAAAGCATAAATGAAGCTTCGGTCAGCAAAGCCATCACGTTATGGAAACTGCTTATTTCAAGTCATAACCTGCAATGAAACTTTCTCAGCAAAAGCACTCTGACTCCAGCACAATGGGCACATTACGGGCTTTCATTAGCCCAGAAGACACCTCACCGCATCTCTAACCAAGCGCTGTGCTAGCACCAGTCACACAGATCTGTTCTGCACCTCTGCTGCAGAAACACATTTATGCAAAGTTTCTTAAGAGGAAGTCTAAAAGCAGGAAAGTCCTGCTGCAATTAGTGAAAATGAATTATTAGTTTGTCAGGCTTCCTGCAGTTCAAGCACCTTTCAATAAACTACAGCCAGGTTATGATTTTGGGGGCATACAGATGGGCACTTTGTCAATCTGTTTCCAAATCAGGATAACAAACTATTTCCGATTAACCTTGCTTTGAGCTTTGGAAACAAACCGGATTTAGAAATCTGATCAAACTAGGTAAAGTTTGTCTCTACAGAACACACCTGTATCAGAGTAGAAGCTAGTTATACAGAGGCATGAAAAGGGACCATGCAGTGTTTTGGCTGCCACTCGGCAGAAGGCTAAGTGGCAGTCAATGGGAAAACCAAGCCAGACAACGCATACGTTGGAAGCCTGAATACTTTCTCAAATGAGATGTGGACTTATTTGAGAAAGACCATACTGGAAAGGCTCAACTAGTTTGGAAGGGAAGAGAGGGGCAGGTACAAAAATATCTAAAAAAAATTCAAGTAACAATAGATTCAGAAACTGCTTCACAATGTCTACAGTCCATAATGCTGGGCCGGCTCTCAGTGCCAAGAACCAGAGCTATCACCAAACCTCTTCCTAGAATCAGCCCCACAGTCGCCAGGAAGCAGGCAAAAATCTCTTGAACAACCGCACCTCAACGTGGTGTGCTGTCACTTCAAGTCCAGGGCTGGGACGTCGAAGGAGATTTTTCCGTTCAAGACTCTGGGCAGAAGAAACCTGCTTTCTCTTGAAAGAGCACCCTACTAAGACACAGGGCATGACACCACATTTCATGTTCAAACTCCAACAAGTAGTCTTAAGAAAAAAATGGAATAGATGTTTCGGATCTGTAGTTCATTGTATGCAGCTAATTATACAAGGCTAGCTTAAGAAAAAACAAACAATAAGGTGAAAAATGATAGGGAAAGAGAGAGTAAAGGCAGCCTTACTACTTCTTCTCATGGAAGACACATTCCTTAAGCAGCTTTTTCAGCAGACACACATGCATCATCCTCGAATCCCTCCCTTTCTTTTAAACTCTCTAACCACACAATACCTTACTTACCGATTACTTCTCATTGTTTTTCCACTTGGCCCCATTAAAAAGTTTTAAATCCTTTCCTATTATGTGCTTCATCCTAATTTATTAGGTGGATGGAATGATTTATTAGGACTATTGTATTTTCACAGAGCAAACCCAAGTCCAGTTAGCTAAATAGCATATAATCTTAGAAGGGTGCCTTCAGGTGCTTCTGTAATGTAAATAAATTAATGAACTAATTCACACAGCAGCAGTACTTGTTTTGAGAAGTCTATTTAGGCTATGAGCAAGACAACGGGCAGAGGGGAAATCAAGACAGCCAAACGACATGGCTGTTCAAGATCACGCCGTCAGTTTTCAGTAAGCTGAAACCAGAACACCAACCAGATTCCATTCAATTCCCTACCTCGTACATACTTAGACATGAACAAACTTGTTTATTTCACTGCATGTAACTCAAACCCTGGATGAGTTTGAATCTAACACCTTCAAAAAATCAAAGATTCGGTCACTGAGCAATTCATCTCCATCCGTTTAAAAAACCATCAATCTTCTCCCCCTCCCCTGAGATCCTTGTCAAAGGCCATACAACTCTCAAGGTCCAGCACTTACAAGAAAGCAAATCATCATCTAATGATGGTTTGTGGGGTTTTTCCCTTTAATGTGCAAAGGGTTGTAAAAGAATAATCCTTCAGTATTTTTCCAGGGTACACTGTAACTTTTGCACAGCATGATAGACCTTTAGCACCTCAGTATGTATTATGAATAATTAAAGCAGCACATGCCAGGGGAAGAGCTACTCTGTGCTCAGACACAACCAGTTCACATCTCTACAGCAAAACTGCAGATTATGGGACCAACAGAAACCATGACCCTCAGATGCATCCCGCTGTAAGCATCTGAAAGTAGCTGTGCTATAAATATTTACCTTACTCTGTCTCAGTCAATTCCGTAAATTAATCTATGG